TTTTTTGCCTTGCCCTTGGCAGAACAATTCATTATATCTTCATCTTGCCATTTCCATCCCCTACTAAAATGTTAACCCTGGTTGGACAATTAATAAGCCTTTATAACAGGGGCAATCGTCTATTCTCACCAGTTCCATTTAGTCTCATTTTCAGTGAATGATATCAAGGGGTCTTCTCATTAACTTCTCAAATAGTACTATAACATAGGTATCCCTAAATTACAGGCGAAGAAACTGAGGCTCAAAGAAGGGAAGTGACTCATAAGGTATATAGTTAGTAAGTGGTAGAACTAGGATTGGAACGCAGGTTGGTCTGCTTCTAAACCCTTAACCCTAAGCTGTCCTGCTCCCTCCCAGAAGATAAATCCATGAATCTTGGCGTGGTATACGGACTCCCCTATGACTGTTAACCTCTTTAGTCTTGCCTACCTCTGCCCATGCCACCTCCTCACAACACTTGCCTTCCCCCCATGCATACCCTTTACTTTCAGGCCATTCCAGACTACTAGAAAACTGGTTTCAAACCTGAAGTCTTTATTCATGCTGTTTTCTTGACATCCTTAGAGCCTCTTCCTATGTTTACCTAACTCCTGTTTGTTCAAGTATTATGGTACAATCACTTCTTGCATTGTTTCCCCAGGTTGGATTGGGTGCCTTTTTTCCCCGCCATGTTCTTGTATTAGCCCGTGCACATGTCTGTCTTTGCACCTACCATGTTGTTTGGAAATCACCTGTGGAATGGTCTTTCTTTCCCTCTAGCTAATTAATTTTAAGGGTGGTAGTCAAATCTTTGTATTCCCAGCACCTAGCACCTAAGCTGGCTCAGTGGAGATGTTAAGAAGCATTTGTTGGACCAAAATGGAAGGATTTTATCAAATTATCCAGATGATGACCTTACATTGCTTTTCTGGGGTTAACCCAGACTGAAAGCACTATTCTGACCCATTAGTGATGAGTTTCTGCACTAATAAGTGGTTTTATCATGCTGTGAATTCTCACCATTTCTAAGCACCAGGGAAAATGTGGGCAAAAATAAATAGTATATATGAAATTAAACCCACAAAAAAATTTGAGTATTAAAAACATAGGTTAGCTCTATAGTTTTCATTTCTTCTCCCACTTTTGGCTCTCATATATGATGTTCCCTTCACCCAAAACACTTTTCCCATACACCTCATGCCTCCCGTGAAGGCTTGTTACAAAATAAATGTTCAATTTTTTTTTTTAATTTTTTTTTTTTCTTCTTAAGGGTAAAAGTGGGCTGGAAGGAAAAGAGGAAAGGTCTAGTA